CAAAGGCGCTCAATTGGAATTTTATCGAATTTTGATCGGCGTTCATGCAAAAGTGCTAATAGATCCTAAAGATTTAAAACCGTAGACCTAAAAATCAATGACTGAACTGTCTTTGGTTATAATATCAGAAGATTTGAAGAACTACCGGTCAGCTTTTTTCGTCGCTGAGTTTGGATTATTTTACACCTTCGCGTAAATGAGAAAAGTGTGTCTTCTTAATCGGGTCTCAGTTCGCTCACAAATAAGTAGAGATAAAAATAATTCCCATGGTTTGACTAAGGAAGAATCAATGTATTCAATTATACTTAAGAAAGATTCACAGCTACGTAAACGTCTGTGTAGCGAGAAGCTGAAAAGTGTAAAATGTCGAGTTTCCGCCAGGTGAAATCCGAGCTTCCGGTAGGGTGACCGTTTTTCGTGGTTTTCTGCCGTTATACGGAATATTTCAAAAAACTAACCTCATATCCTTCAGTTACTTACCTAGGCCTTCAAACTGACAAAGTATGAGCGAAATCGATTTTTTGACCGTGGCCACGATTTCTTTGATTTTTACTGACAATCACTCTTAACATCTCTTCTGGCATTTGAAATAATTGAAAATAGTTTTTCCTGTAGAAAAATTGCCAGTTACCCCGTATACAAACTTTCTGTTGTAATCTAGAGCTAGTTGTTGGAAAACAAAACAAAGCGAACGACAACAACCAAACTTTTTTCGGTATTTACATTAACATATCGATGTAACACATTTAGTTCCGACCTATTCGTGACCGTCATAAATGCAATTGCTCTCAGTAAACTATACAGCTCCTTAGTCTGGTCTAACGCCTCTTCCAAAACCCTTTCTGTCAGAAGTTCGCAGCACGGACTATTACTAGAGCCAAAAGAATTGAACACATGACCTCATCACTCAAGAACCTGGGGTGGCTCCCCTTGAAAAAGCAGCCCTATCTTCGAGACTCCATTTTTTGCGTTTAAGTGCACAACAGGATCCGCCCTGACTTACCTGATATCACAATTAGTCACAAGATGACAGATATCTGACCGATGAACAAGAAACGCATTACAAATAAACATTCATTTATTTAAAATCGCTACAGGCAAGATATCATTTCATTGAAGGATAGGGAACTTATGGAATTCATTTGACAAAGATAAAACTGTGTAAAAGTCCTGCAAAATTTTTTAGCAAATAAAAAAAGATGTTTTACAAATTTTTAAATCAAGACTTGTTACAGTATATAATTCTATACATCATACATTTACTATATTGTATTTTACATGAACATTTTATTCTATTCTATCATATAAACTGCGGTGTTATCCGAGGATTTATAGCCCCGAGAAAATCCGTAACAACACACGTCAACAAATACGAAATTTTTCATGTGTGTTTGATATCGCTAATCAGCTGCGCCTCTCGGTCAGGTTGATGAATGAACGGCAAAGCCTTCACCATTCTTAATCCAAGTTCGTTGGTCGAATATTTTCGGATCATGGATTATGGCTGCTAAAAAAATTAAAAATCCGTATCGCTTACAGACAGTGACGTTCAAACTTTCCTAAGAGGGGAAGAAAGCCAAAATACTAAAAGGCACACAGGCCGATTTGCCACAGGCTGATTTGCTCTTTCGGTAAGGACCAATTCAATACCAATGAATTTGTTCTGTGGTGATTCAACGCATGTTCTTATCTTGAGTGCGCCAACGCCCTTTTGCGATTTTTATTTTTATTGCCGATTCTTTTTATTTTCATTCATAAAACACTCGAAGAGAAATTTCATATCTACGCGCGCCCAGGTATTACTTTCCATGTAACGTATTCGTTTATCATATTATTAATTGAATAATCTTTTTGCGGACATGTGCAATGAAGTTCAATTCAAGTCAATCATACCTGCCGTGGGGCATTGTGTTTTTCATTTCGCCATTTAAATTTTCAATATAAACCTGCAGAAGGATGATAATAGCCACCCGAAGACTCTTTAGAATGAATAAAATGATTTAATTTTTTTCAAGTTAATTTCAAGGCTGAGGGAAAGTTTGAGCTCAATTGGAACAAAATAGGTTTGGCACATTTTTCAAAATTAGAGTTACCGTAATTATTCGAATAAACGCCTCCCTCAAATAAACGCCGCCCTCGAATAAACGCCGCAGGGACAGGCAAAAATAGTATTAAACGCCACCCTCGAATAAACGCCGCCCTCAAATAAACGCTGCAATCTTTCTCAACATTGCGTTTCTTGTGGTCGTAATTATGACTGACGGCAGTTTTAGCACGTGCAATAGCACGAAACCTACAACAAATAAGCAATGGCAGATTTAAATGGAGACAAAATATCACACAAAGGACAAAAAAGACATAAATACAGCCCTGAAGTAAAAAAACAAGCAATCGCCTACGCTGAAATACACGGAAATCGACCTGAATCTCGCCACTTTCAAGTCGATGAAAGAAGAATACGAGAATGGAGAGGGAAGAAGATTCAGAATGAAGGTGTCCT